CTACGTGAGTCAAATCGCCCACTACAACGGTTTCAGCAAGCTTCTCAATCGAGCAATGTTCATTTCCCATCATGTGTTGTTCAAACTATTAGCAATTTGCTATAACTGAGCCAAAGCGTCAAGATTGAGGTTGCCAGATTTTTATATCGCAGAGACTGTCATGATAACGTTTAGCGCGCGATGTGAATCACGTAGAGCATTGAGTTTTCATGAGCGGGTGGTTTGAATTCACGCATTAAGAATCATTAAATATCTTCGTAAGGAGTTGATTTCGGTAATTTTCGTTGTGTGCATCGTGTTTTACGTAAAATTTTGGTTAAGAAACATGTATCAGAATGCTGAAATTCGTACCTTATCTAGTGGTCCATTATCACACTGATCATCATTTGCGACCTGCAGACCCTGGTAAAAATTGGCAGTAGAATCTGTGTTCCAAATTACCATAGACCTACAGCCGGCTGTAAGATTTCCAATAGCTTCTATAGCCGGCAACACAATTTCCTATAGCCTTTTATAGCCGATGGCGACTAAGCAACAACCAGGCGATAAAGCGCATGCTCAACGTTACTAATTACGGATGCTGAGACTTACTGAGTTTTTGGACTACTGCTCTCCTTTTGGGCCATAGTAAGTATCTTGATTTATTTTGCGAGGAAAGCTCGGTACTTTTGAAGGATGCCTGCCATTCCTAATATGTTGGAGCGCCTTCAATTTCGTATGATACTGTGCAATACTTCTGGTGTGAAATAGTTGCTTCAAGCGCCGTGGTACGCTGCGGCGCGGCGTGGCGGGCGGACAGCCAGCGCGAAACGCGCATTGGCGCCTACAAACCTAACAGGGATACTTCACGCATTGCGCAATGCGTGAAGTATCCCTGTTAGGTTTGTAGGCGCCAGTGCGCCGCCGCTCCGCTTTGTGTTAGGCTCTAATATTTAATCTGACTTTGAAATGTTTGCACACTCTGTATGGATTATTCTCATTTTAATTGATGAAAAAAAATACGTAGTAAAGGAAAATATAATGTGCGTTTTGTAAATATTAAGATGATTCCGTACAAACTTAGGATTTACAAAGCACACGAATTTCTACACAATTTCTTATAGCCCTTTATAGCCGATGGCGGAAAAGCAACAGCCAGCCGATAAAGTGTAAAGCCCGGCGATTGGAACTATAGCCCGGCTGTATAATTTTTTATCGCCTCGTGAAGCCCGGCCGTATGATTTTTTCCACTTTCTACAGCCAGCTATATGATTTTCTATCGCCTTCTTTTGTCGGCTATAAGAATTCCTATGGTATTTTGAAACGCAGCACCTATCGCCAATTTTTACCAGGGGAGTCAGTGATTTTACCACTTGCACAATCGTGAATGTGAACCGCGAAATCAGTGTCTTCTAATGGGTTAGGGTCGAATAGGCAACTAAACTAACTTCACAGGAAAGTGTAAAGTATCACGAACGATTGCAGGCGCTCAAAGCCGAGATCGTAGTTTAGAAGCCCCTTACCAATAGATCATTCATTTCACTGATTAAAATTTACGCGGGCAACGCTCAAAATGCTCTTTAATGTCCCGTGATTGTTAATTGCCTACGACATACACAGCAGTAGGCTGAAAATACTTTTCCAATAGTCCTTGAAACTTTCAACCGTTTCAGTGTGCATGGAAGGGACATCATTTGGGCAAGGAAATGAAACCAAATTCTAGTAGTGATGTCGATCACCGTGCTCTCTGAGACGAAACGTTGACATTCACTCTCGTAGGTTGCCACCGGCGAAAGGGGACCAAAACGCCACTGAGTTCGCGAATAATAACATGAAATGGAGACGGTGATTTCCCGCTTGACGGCACGTGATAATGCTGGTAAATGGACAGATTATAAATAAACGATCATCTTGCTCACTTAATCGCGACCAAGAGTCTCTCCTGTCGACCGCTCGTAAAATCCCCCCTTAACAGCTCTTGATAACTGATACGTGTCGTCTCCGCGAAAATCTCGCGATTTCGGTGCAAAAACTGAACGAGGAAAAGTGTGAGCGGTCATATGTCGTCTCATTCATCGAGCCCCTTAAAATGTATCCAATTGAACGGACAAAAACCAAGTTTTTTTCGGGAAACTAAGGGGTCTGCTTGTTCCAGAAAACTTTTTTATTCACGCAGTTTTTCATTTAAATTTGTGATGGTAAGTGGCAGTAGCCAACTCCGGACGGAGCCTGTTACGCGCCACAGAGAAAAACATTTCACAAAAGAAAGAGCTGCCGGTAATTCAATGAACTGTAGGAGCTTTGTTTTTTTATCTCTGACAAAAAATCGTATTGTCAGAAAAAATATTTGTTTCAATTCTAAATAACTTGGTGCCCCTCTCCTAATGGGAACATGACCGAAGCATTTCAGAGAAAAGAACCAAGTGTACGTACTGTTGGCTCCAGGTCATATCCTTATGGACGAATCTAGGAATAGGGACCAATTATATGGTGGTGCTTGTGGGGTTCTACCAAGCTTCTGCCGAACATACCTCTTGTTTGCCAAAAACGTGGCTCCTTTCAGTTAAATATTATACAAATGGAAAAGAAAATATCTCCTGAGTTCACACGCTATAACTTTAAAATTGTTATTTCAATAGAAATTTGAGGAGGCCAAATTCTTTTAGAAGACGAACGTTTTCTCTCTTTTTCGGAAATTGTTGAATTTAAATTAATGAGTCACAAGGTGAAAGAACTATGCCGGGATGCACTTACTTCCTGCAAATCCTGTCGCAGTTATTTTCAGTAGTAGATACGGTTTTCAGCTGCGTTTTTTCAACTTGATATAGATGTTTTAATAATATCATTGAATCGTGTCCAGCGTGCCATAAATTTTCCGCATTTTTGAGCGTTTTATATAAGGCTCAATCCATAATTTAAAAAAAAGTCTCTGTTCGAATTATTCCAAAATTTAGGTAGAATTCCTTACGAAGTGACCATGCAGTCAAGGGCCCGAATTATTTTGAGCACTGGCTTCGGCATAATCATGCAGTTTTCCGCTGCACTCTACCGGTTAATGCAGCGATTTTAAGAGCTTACAGAGTCAGAGCTTCGTGGGAGTCACCGATCAGCGATGAATGATCGATTATCGATACCTCTCCATTTTGAGCCATGGTAAAGAATCGATTATTAAGGTGTTCGCTGCGAACACCCTGTTAATCGATCTTTTCCATGGGTTTAAATGGCAGATCAATCGATAGATCGCAAAGCACGCCACGCCACTGTCACCAATAGATGTCATGTGGTGTGCTTTCAAAGTTAACGCGAGACTATCCCTCTTGTCCCACGTGATTCCCTTGCATGTAACAGGGATTTTTGACCAAAATTCCGGTCTCGCACAGGGCCATTATAGGATTTCAGCGAACGTAAAATTTGTCTGCCGACGCTCAACAGACCAGATATACTTTATCAAAAAAACAAATAGATACGTTTCAACCAACAAGGGTTTAGCCTCTCCAGCGTTTATACAGAAACGAGAACATTGCCAGAAATTAGTTGAGGAATGGAGAATTTGCCCGAACATAACTTATTGATTCACTTCAGAGTGCTGAATAAGCTAATTTCGCAGTATTTTTTACAAGTTTTTTTCTGACACGCGCGAGAAATGGTATAAAAATGGATATAAAAGTGAAAAATGCACCGCCTTGTGTCGACGACTGGCGACATTTCCCATTTAAAAACATTTATTTCAGCAGATTAGATCATCGTGTTATATCTCCTCCGAAAATTGCTCAATTCATGAACCAAGGGTATCCTCATGGACAGTCCACTCAGTATAGTTTCCACGTAAAAACGATATTTATCAAATTTCAGACACCCCCAAATGCTCCATTCTTCTAAAATCACTGGACCCAGTGCTCGCATCTACAAAACTCTTTACCTGTTCCCACTTGTCTTTTTAGCACGGAAATCTCTTTTAGTCCACTCTGTCCTGATATCAGACATCTGGAACTCTACTCATATGAATCGGCAAAAAACGAGTAGAGGAATTATTCCGATATCACTGGCCTTTGCATTCACATCTACAAAATTTTATACCTGTTCCTTCTCGTCCTTTCAGCGCAGATATCTCTTTTAGTCCACTCTGTCCTGATAACGGTTGAATCTCTACTCCCATGAATTGGCCCAAAACGAGTAGAGGAAGTCCTCTGATATCACTGGACTTGGTACTTACATCTACAAAATGCTATACCTGTTCCTATACTCGTCTTTTTAGCACGGATATCTCTGTTAGTCCACTTTGTCGTCCTGATATCGGCTGGATCTCTACTCGTATGAATTGGCCAAAAACAAGTAGGAACGGTCCACGGTGGCGTGGAGGAATTCTTTCAGAAGAATTCCTCCAGTGATATCAGTGTCATTGAACTTATTCCACTCACATCAACAAAATTCTTTCCCGGTTCCCCGGAGGGATTCCAGGAGGAATGGAGATGTTGCATGTGTGAGGGATTTGCGATTTGACCATTGATTCTTATGTAAAAGTTTGCGAAAAACACGATGGTGCCACTGGTTTTCTCTGAAATCATCTCCCAAGCTCAAAAAAAGCTCTCAAAGTGAGGCCAAAATGGAGGGGATATCCCACCCTACCCTGAGAGTCCACCTCTACATCAAGACAAACTGTAAATGCAAAGAGGGAGCAAATACATTGGCAAGGTTGCCACTTTATTTGGGGACTCCAAATTGAAAACACGGCAACCCTGCTAATGTATTTGCTCCCTTTCTTTGCATGGACAGTTTGTTTTGATGTAGAGGTGGATTCTCAGGGTAGGGTGGGATATCCCCTCCATTTTGGCCTCACTTTGAGAGCTTTTTTTGAGCTTGGGAGATGGTTTAAGAGAAAACCAGTGGCACCATCGTGTTTCTCGCAAACTTTTACGAAAGAATCAACAGTCGCGATTCCTCACACATGCAACATCTCCATTGGTAGGTTGTGAGGTTTGTTTACACGTGGTGGGCGCGTGGCGTGCGGCGTGGAGACTGACCTGACATTTGGACGTCATCGTTGTTGAAGACGATCCAGAGGGAGAAGAACTTGTCGACGCCGAGGTTTTCGGTGAGCTGGCCGTCGATCCCGGTGGTGTTGGGGAGCTGGATAACGGAGCCGGTCGGGGCCGGGGCCGCCGCGAGGGCGAGGAGCAGGAGCAAGGCGAAGCTCGCGGGGCCGCGGGAAGACGGGCACGACGCGGACGAGCACGACTCAAGCGCGATCGCGGACATCTCGACGCCAGCGAGGCACACAACACACTGCCGCACTCGAGCCGCCGCGCCGCGACGCCGACGCCGCCCGTCCCAGACCTCACTCCGGCTCCGCCACGGTAAAAAACCACCCGGCATCCCATCACGCTCGCCCGGAGCCGAGCCGGAGCCCCCCAAGTTGCCGGCTCTACACTGAACAAAAAATCTCGGTGTATTTACCAGGAAAAAGGTAAAATTACCAAGAATCCAGGGTTCTACTTGGACTAGATTTTGCAATTTAGAACCATAAACTCTAGCCCGGTTTAAAAACAACGTATATGCCATTAGTTTCCCTATGAACATAAGTGTTTTTCCAGAAGAGCCAGAATTTATAGTTCCAAAATTGCAAAATGCAGTCCATTTGATCCCAGTTTTTTCTTGGTAAAATTACCATTTATAGAATTGGTAATTTCACCGAGAAATCTCGGTAAAATTATTGACTTTCTAGGTAATTTTACTGGACCCCAGTAAAAACGCCAATATTTTTTATCGACTGTGGTAGAATTACCGAGATACAATGGCAAAGTTACCAGGGATTGATTACCAATAAAAGGGGTATTCTTACCTGAAAAAAAAACAGTAAAAATACCGGTTTTTAGGTAAGTTTACCAGCCTGTCTTGGTAAAATTACCACTATTTGGTAAAAAAAAAGTGAGATGGTAAAGGTACCAACGGACCTTGGTAAAAACGCCGAGAATGTTTTTTCAGTGTACTACCCGCTCCGAAGAAAATGATCAAGTAATTAACAAAAAGTGCCCTCGCCATGTGACCTGTATCCCTTCAATTTTGAGTTTTTAGTCCAAAGATCTTTAAAGAGCTTAAATTAATGACCCAGGTGGTATTTTTGATGCCAACTTTTTAAGAATTAAAGGCATTTTTCAAAATTTACAGTCCTTCAAAATGAGCTTTCCGTGTGATTTCGCTAAGAATGGACCTTGGCCCCTAGCCTCCCCCCCCCCCAAATTTTAGCTCACCTCAAAATCGTTTGACGTGCATAAGGAGACCACAGATTTTGAATGAAATCGAACAGACAGATTCTGAGATATCGCTGTACACAGATTTGGGGGACGCCGAACGGACGGACACACATTTTTTCAAGTATGGTTATTTTGACTCCTGGAACCTTAAAACGTCTAGAAATGATGAAATTTTAACTTGTTTTTTTCTTTCTTGGAGGATGGCAATACTTCCTCTACCCTAGGAGAGCGAGAAAGTAAGAAGATAATAAATGGAAATAATCATACTGTATAATACTATAATAGGACGTATTTCTGCCAAATGGAACTATGTCCATTCTGGCGTGAGCCCTGTTATGCATATATTCTTGTGGATTTTAGGGCTCGTGTCTTAATGCGCATAGTTCTGTTCGGCAAGAATACGTCCAACGTATCTACTATATCGTCAGGTCGTTCCTTAATTTAGTTTAATTTCCTCATGAATGCAATTTTTGGTTTTTTTCATGGGTTTTTTAATTTTCTGGTTTTTGATCTTTTTCGTGTTCTAATTTTCCTTGAAATTTTCATTTTCAAGCAAGGAAAAGTGTATTGCTGACTTTCTCCAGTAGCGCGTCAGCAGTACTTACACCGGAAGTGATGTCTCCTCCGAGGTAAAAGAAAAAGTATAAAATCATAAGAGTACACGTGACGCATGACGCCTGAGTCGCTGCTAATTTCTTGATACTGGGCCGGATTAAGGGGGTGGCCACATGGGCCGCGGCCCATGGCGGCAAATCTATAGGGAGCGGAAAATTGGGCTTTTTTCTTAAATGTAGGTATAAAAAAAAATCGGATTTAGAAAAAAAAATTGCAAACGAGAGAGGGCGACAAAATCTCTCATTTCCTGAGAGTATAATAATTTCTAATTTTGTCGTTTTTCAGAGATACAAGAGACAGCGCCTTTAATTAAGAGAGCAACCAAATAGTTAAAACACGCAATTTGGCCCGGAACGGCGCGACTTAGAGAGAAATGATGACGAGGACTTGAGATGAAAAGGAGAAGCCCTCGGCGCGGCGATCGGCATGTAACACACATCAGCGCCTACAAGACTGCACGAATACTTCACGCATTGCATCAAACAGAGTGCGGTCATTGCGGTCGGCGTGAAACTCACAGCGCCTACAAGACTGTCGAAATACTTTACGCATTGCGCCAAACACGGTGCGGTCAGCGCGGCGGGGCGGCGGAAGTTAAAATCATTAATCCACATTTATGTTTGTTCTTTCATAATTTTTTCGTTCATTTCTTATGAATGGAAGGCCTTGTCCACAAAGAGATAGGTTTACGAAACTTAACTTTCGCACAAAGATCCGTGAACTTTTGCTAGTAGTGTTGACAGGGCTTTCGCAAAAAATGTGTCCAACACGAGTAAACGCGTCTTATGCACCCCTCCACCACTGGCACGTTCATTTGATGGTTTTTATTGATGTTTCAAAACGAATGAGAAGGGGGCGGCAAAATACAGGCGGCCCATGGGCGGCAAGTAGGTAAATCCGACCCTGTCTTGATACATTATGAGATGAAATGATCCCGAGCCCTAACATTTAAGAGGAAATTTTGAAAAAACACAATTTAGGTCCGTGATTTTCAAATGCCGGCGTTTACATGCATGTATCGAATACATCCATTAAATCAACTAGACGTAAAAACGCAATGAAAAAAGTTTCTTCGGAAAAACTAAATATTCTTGAAACTCCGAGGAACACTCAACTTTTTCACAGAATCCAAACGTAAGTGGTTTTTCTACTGAGGAGTATGGAACCTTTTTTACACCCTAAAAAAAGAGCATTGACTTTTAATACAGCTATTGTGCGCCCGAAAAATATTTCGAAGCCAGTCAAGACGGTATGAACAAATTCGTTCTCAGAGCTCTTAAATCGAACCCCATAAACAGAGAACATAATTCGAAGAAAAACTGTCTCCTTCGAGCCCTGGTTCCCTTCGATCCGCCCCAAATTGAGTTTTGATTAAAATCCATAACTTGTATTCCGTCAAAGAACGATCTAGAAAAACAGACGCATTGCGTCACATCGTCTCTTCGAGTCTGGAGACCATTCCACACTGGGTTTTTGTCCATTTAAATGCATTGAAACAATCGATTTATATCAAAGTGGGCTGCGTATCCCCTGAAATCGATTCTTAATGATGGATTTAAATGGATTTGAAGAGGAAAATTGAAATATGGCCCTTTATTTCGTTCCCTGGCCATTAATGGTGTTCCGTAATTTCATCGCTAGGCGAATGTTCCACGAAAAGTCAAGTGCCTAGCGTGGGAACGAAACTTTCCGAGAAAGTTTCCGAGAACTTCCTGGGAACTCTTCAGAGTGTAAATGAAGATGGTGTTTGTGTGGGTGTGTGTTTTTCCTTCAAAGTTTCTAGAGAGAGAGTAAATTTTAGGCGGGAATTCTCTAGAGAATCTCTGAGAAAATTTTTACACATCGGAGGCACACAGTGGCAACTTGGCTTCATTTAACCCGGAGTGAGTAGTGAATGAGAGACGAATTTTACCCCCACTTTCACGACTCAGATCCGAGCGCACCCCCTCTCCCACCCACCCGTTGCAAAAGTTGGCGTGGCGGGTTGCGGACGAGAGAAGTGCGGGGGCAGCTTTATTTTGTCGCGTCTCGCAGGCCCTTGAAGATCGCGTTTTGTCTTCGTAAATCGATCCAGACGGCATGGCGTACAACGTTGACCGCCAGGCGATAACAGTCTAACACACCGCTCGGCATTCAGCCATTAATCCGCCTATATCGGTCGGTGATGTCTCATCGATTTTTCGTCGGCTCTCGGTCCTAACCGTGAAAATATGTGTCTCCGCCACAACGTTTAAAAAATGCCCGGCTCTGATGCCTTTTGTTAAACGAAAAGAACTTGTGTACCTCCTTGAAAATGGGTGTGAAAGTTTCTGAAAGAAGTAAAATAACTTCACCGAGAGTTTCAAATAAGACGGTTTGTTGTTCCCTTATCAAAAAAGAAAACACTATAGTGGAGATGTGTAATTTGAAAATAGGAGAAACCCAATTTTTACTGAGTCGTCGTTATACAAATGCCCCGGAAATGTGACTGAACTTTTATCAAAAGTTTATGACGGATATTTTGAAGCTCTTGACTAATTAATTGTAAGCCGAGAAAACTTTTATCGCTGGGCGACTGATTAAAAACATCCAACTTCATTTTTGTCGATTTCGAGTCAGGTGAATAATGTGTACTAGGGCTAGTGGATACATTATATCTGCGTTTCAGATGTTATGGCCGAAAAAAGTCGGGAAGTAGGTTAGGAACGACGAAAATGTTAACACGCATCTTGCACTTAGTTTCAAAAACACAGATCTCTGAGCCTCGCCCTCGGCGCCTTTCATTTGTCGGCTATGCAACTATTCGTGCGTCTACGCGACTCTGTCGGCACAGAGCTGACTGAACTAAACCTTACCTACTCCTCACAATCAGCTCTTTCTAGTTTATTTTTTAATCGACGCAACTCGGGCGTTTTACTCAATTTCAGACATTTCGGTGTCTTTCCTTTTAAATTCATGTTGTTAATTTTGAAATAATTATGCAAGTCCAAAAAAAAACTTTGTTCTGTAATCTTGTATACTTACAAGAAAAATCTCGTATATTCACAAGGAAAGTTTTGTATATTCATAGGGAAAATTTGATATATAAAGCAATAAAAGTTAGTTATCATTGTTTGGAGACATTCAGCTACTGAGGCTATTCAAGTATATACAAGGGAAACATTTCTGACAAGAAAATCGCATACAAAATTAAAATCAAAAGTCGTAGCTCAAGTAAATGGATAAAACTAGTAGAAGCTATACAGCGCTTACAGTGTTAATACGATTTTGCAACTTCATCAATTTCATAAGAAGAAAAAAACAAAACCTGAGAGGTTTTTATTTCACTACAAAAATTCGTTAATTTCGGAGAAAACGATTTCACTATTCACTTTTGGTTTTCACTTCCTATTTCCGGTTTAGTCTCTTTCGGTTTTCACCTTCGACTTCCAGTTTTCACTCCACATCCCCGGGTTTCAAGTTCCACCTCTGGTTTTTTCTTCTCATTTCCCGTTTTCACTACCGGAAGTGAAAACGGGAAACGGAAAGGAAAAACCGGAAGTGGAAGTTGAAAACCATAAGTGGGACAGGAAAACCGGAAATAAGCGGTGAAAAGCGGAATTGGTAAGTGGAAGCCGGTAATATGGACCAAAAACCGGAAACAGGAAGTGAAACCCGAAAATGAGAGGTGAGAACTGGAGGTGAAAGGTGGAAATCAAAAATGGGAAATGAAAACTAGCAGTTGTAGGTGAAAACCGGAAGTGGAAAATGTTAGCTGGAAATAGGGAGTGGAAACCCATAGTGGAGGAAAAATCGGAAGTGGAAAGGCAAGATCAGATGAGAGAAGTGAAAACTGCCCTGGTAAAAATTGGCAGTAGAATCTGTGTTCCTAAATACCATAGACCTACAGCCGGCTGTAAGATTTCCAGTAGCTTCTATAGCCGGCAACACAATTTCTTATGGCCTTTTAAAGCCGATGGCGACTAAGCAACAGCCTGCCGATAAAATGTATGCTAAACGTTACTGATTACGGATGCTAGAACTTAGTGAGTTTTTGGACTACCGCTCTCTTTTTGGGCCGCAGTATCTTGATGTAATTTGCGAGGAAAGCTCCGTTCTCTTGAAGGATGCCTGACATTCCTAAGATGTTGGAGCGCCTTCAATTTTGTATGATACTGTGCAATACCTCTGGTGTGAAACAGTTGCTTCAAGCGCCGTGGTACGCTGCGGCGCGGCGGGCGGGCAGCCAGCGCGAAACGCGCATTGGCGCCTTCAAACCTAACAGGGAAACTTCATGCATTGCGCAATGCGTGAAGTATCCATGTTAAGTTTGAAGGCGCCAGTGCGCCGCCACTCCGCTTTGTGTTAGGCTCTAATATTTAAGCTCGTGGAGTCAGCGTTTTTCAACTCAGAACTTTGAAATGTTTGCACACTCTGTATGGATTATTCTCATTTTAATTGATGAAAAAAAATATGTAGTAAAGGAAAATATAATGTGTGTTCTGTGAATATTAAGGTGATTCCGTACAAACTTAAGGATTTACAAAGCACACGAATTTCTACACAATTTCTTATAGCCCTTTATAATCGATGGCGAAAAAGCAACAGCCAGGCGATAAAGTGTAAAGCCCGACTATGGGAACTATAGCCCGCCTGTATAATTTTTTATCGCTTCGTATAGCCCGGCCGTATGATTTTCTCCGCATTCTACAGCCAGATATATGATTTTCTGTTGCCTTCTTTAGCCGGCTATAAGAATTCCTATGGTATTTTGGAACGCAGCGCTTATCTCCAATTTTTACCAGGGTTTTGAATAAATTCTCAAAAATTTTGCGCCCCTCAAAATGTTGCGCCCTAGGCTATAGCCTATGTAGTCTATTGGTAAATCCGGCCCTGGGAACTAAACAAATAATACAATGTTATCGCAGGCAAAATCGGAGCGTCAATTTAAATTACGCGCGTTTCCACTCTTGGTCCGATTTCGTCACGGGATCATTCCACCGTTTCTGTTGACGATTTTCATCGATCAAATGGAACGGTAAAGTGGACTGAAAAGCGTAAACAAATCGCTTCTCAAAGTTAGCGAAACTTTGGAAAGCTCCGCAGCGGTGCTATGCATATTACCTGATTATTTCCTTTTAAAACGTGCTGTTCATTATTTTGCATCCGTTATCAGTGACTCGACTCGTTCTATAATTCTTTTTTAACACAGCACTTACCCTTTGTTTTCAGCGTCGCGCAGAAGTACTCATTGTTTTATCAAAATGTCCGTGGCTTTTGCACAAAGAGGCCGACCGCCTGCAAATCCGGCTCAAATTCAAAAGGTCAGTTTTCTGATGATTCTTTACCTATCGTTGCATTTCCACATTCTATAGAGTTTTGTTGGTAATCGTCGTTTTTTTGACTTCTCATCTGTCTTCTCAGCACACAAATGCCCAGCAGTCATGCTTCATCGAGCAACAACAACGGTCACAGACATTATTTTCTCCTCAAAGTATACATTCAGTGACCTCAGTTATTTGCTCGTTAGTACTTTTTACCAACTAATTAAAGTAAGGTTGGCCTCTTTTCGTTGAGTTGCTAGCTCTCAACATTGTACTAACATCACAATCAAGATTTCAGATGCTGTTATCAATCCATCTCATGTGCAGTGACAGCCTGTTCCCACTCCAGCCTTGCCGTGGGAGTAGTCAGGTCTTGCAAAAACAAATTCAGCCCATTTTTTTATTGAGACCCAAAAATATTCTTTTATATTCTGAGTCTAGTAGGATCAAGTCCTTTTTTGCTTGCTGAAGAAGGTTTTCATTTGCATTTTCCAACACGTCTGTCTGAAAGTGAGGTTAGGAACATCATTCGGCTCCTAAATGTCTGCTCTCCCTGATGAGAACAAAAAGCAAAGGGGATGCATAAATGGTTGATAATCTATTTCATTGAGGACCAGCCTTTGGGTATTTTTCTTCCATTAGTATTTATTGACTACCTTTAATCTAAGAAATTCGGTCCTTGGCATTGACCCTACACAGTGTGTGTCTGTGATGTATAAGATCAAGTCAAGATGTCATGTCTTAAGTTAAGTAACAATGGGTAGGAATATGTATGGTCCAGCTACTTACACCTCTATTCAATAAGAATATCTAACCAGCCATTGTGAACCTTGGGTTTGTGAACCATTCGCTTACAGCATTATGGAAATAAACATATCTCAAAACGATGTCACGTTTTTGTACCAATGGAGCCCTCTTGGGGTAGAATTGTGGGGAAATTTTGGCACTGAAAATGTCCAACCAAACCTAAATTTCTATACATAATGGGATTTAAGGTTCGCAGTTCAACAATGGCAATCTTGAGTACCAGTCATGATAAGTTTGTAAGTATCTGCCTTACGGAGTCCACCCTAAATAATTTTTCGCACTTTTGAATTGCAACAGAAGATACGCCAGATAAGTTTACGCACTTTTGAACTGCATCAGGAGATCCGCTGTCTTCCTTCTTGCATTTACTATACATGTAAAAGTGACGTCAGTCAATCCTCTGTTGCAGTCTGGAAGTGCTTAATCTTATTCGGAGTAAGTGTCGAGCCTCGATGGAACTTTTCGCCTTTTTTTTTTCACATAACGAATATGCAGCTGACAACTAATTCCTCTAAATTCAAAATATTGGTCTTCATTATTCATCCTAACTCAAACTCTAATTTATTACTTTTTACTCAACTTGACACAAATCGCTCTCCTAAACCTTCATAAACGAAGATAACTTTTCCCATGAACGTTCATCTGTCAAAATGTAGACTTTGCCTCCAGATACTTAATGTAGTTTTTCGAATGGCCTAGCTTATAAGTACTGTGTGCTAGAAAAATAATTTGGGTTGTTTCTCCTTTCAGATGTTGGATGAAAACAGTCAGCTTATACAAACTATACAAGAATATCAAAGCAAAGGAAAAGCCCAGGAATGCGTTCAGTAAGTTGGAAACTTTCATTTTTTATTCTCTTACTTAACTCTAAAGTGCCCTGTTTTCAGCTCACAAAAATGTATCAGTACCTTACAAATGTACCAACAAATGTCTGGAAGTGATTAAACCCACTAGGTTTAGTTGCAGTAAGGTTGTGGTGACTCCTTAGCAGCCTAATATTCCATACAAACATTCACAGAGAGTCTCAATGAAGATTGTTGTATTGTCTTTGTACAGAAAATTTCTTGCCCTGAGTGCGATAGCAAATTTCAATTTCTGTTTCTTCAACTTTAAATCTTCATTCCACCATATGAGGAGCACAGAGAATAGAATATTCACTGTAAATTTTAAAATAAGACATACATTTTATAGGACAGTAATCCCTGTTCATGGAATGGTTCCAAAAAGTAATTAAATGAGGATGAGGAAAAATGAGCTATGTCACTGCCATGTCAGGCCAATTTAAGTTGCCTCGTCGTCATTTATATTTTTTCTAATATTTTCTTACCTGTTAATTAAAAAGTTGTACTGACCATAGATTACCATTGATTGGCAATTTTTAGTCAAAAACTTTATTCAAGAGCTCTGAAACAAAAGACCCCACCATAATTTTGATGATCAAGTTGTAAAAATAGAAGAAAATCCCAATTTCATCATTTTGTGCTCATGTAGTTTTAAAATTTCCTTCATTTTTTCAGGTATCAACAAATCCTGCATAGAAACCTTGTGTATCTAGCGTCTATTGCTGATGCTAATCAAAATATCCAAGCTCTTCTACCGGTAAGAGATTCATAATTATTATTATGAAAACATAATTAGCATTGATGGTTGCACAAGTACATTTTATTTACATATTTATTTAATTTATTTTATTACTTATTTATTTTAATTTACTCTTAAACCCCAAAGCACTGAAGACACCACCTCTAAGTCTAGATTGTTTTGGGGGTGCTTCAATTTAAAAAACAAAGTAGATAACAATTTCAAATTTTCTACAAGTTAAATTTCAATCAAATCAAATTACCATCAAAAAGTGGGGGTTGGCTCTTCCTAAGGCTTCACTTTAGAGGTTCATCAGTCATTTAGTAAAAAGTCAAATAAACATCAAAAAGTGGGGGTTGGCTCTTCCTAAGCCTAAAGGCTAGGCTTTTCTCCCTAGGCCTAAGGCTTTAAAGGCTGATCAGTCATTTAGTAAAAAGTCAAACAAACATTTTAAGTACAAACTAAGTTCAAAGTATTTACTTCACAGAATGGCACAATTTAAAGTCTAAGTTTCAAATCAAAAGACGTGGGAAGACAGGTAAAAGAAATATGAGATAAAACAGACAAAATTACAATACTATCTATTCGGCCTAGGTGAACCCAACATTTCTTTGAACCCATCTTTTGAGGCTTTGCCTGATTAGCTGAGAAAGATATTTGTATTTAACATTTATAAACTAATTATGCATGAATTTGCTTGAGTCCTGCCATCTAAAGCTGCTTATTATTTCTTTATTTTAGCCGCCTCAAGGTATTCCTGGTCCTGGCGGGCCGGGTGGTCCCGGTGGTCCAAGTCCAATGGGTGTTCCAACTGGTCCTGGTGGACATCAGCCTCCTGGTGTTCACGGACCAAACACAGGTCCCTCCATCAATGGCGATGTTCAGCCTTCTCCTCAAGGGCCTCCTGTCAACAGTTTCCCCCCGCAAATGAACTACCGATCTCCTATGCCACCCTCTCCTCAAACCATGCCTCAACGTAAGTTCTGTATTTTACTACTACTTTTATTACTAACTACCAACTGCTTCAGGTGCTGATCTCTGAATGAAGAGAAATTTTCAAGGAACCATAGAAAAGTTCCGCTTACCCTCTCTGGCAGAGAAGTTCTTCAAGGAAAGCAAGAAAATTCCTTTTTTACTATAACAAAAATGACTGTTTTAGTATTTCATGACCGCTTACTTTCGTTTTTGTAAATTTGTAATTTTACGACAAGGCAGGGAACTCATTCCTCCTTTTTTTTTTTGGAATGTACCTAACTACAACAAAAAGTGGATTGATGCAATCAGCATTAGTTAGTTAGTTAATTTAATACAACGATCAGCAATTGCAAATAGCATTTTGCATGTAAGTAAAAGATAGTTCCTTTGGACAATTAAAAGAGAAACACCTCAAAACACTGTTTTAAAAATATGCTTTATAAAGAATTGGTATTTTTTTTATTTGAATTGAGTTTTAAAGAAAGACAAACTTCTTCTTGAAAAATGTTGATTGGGTCAGGTAAAAGAATGTGTTGAGGAAAATTATAAAAAAATTTGCCCCCATTTGCATTTGGTAGTTTTAACTGGAACTAGTTTGGAGCTTGAAGCTCCAACTTCAGCTGTTACCAGCAAACTCGAGTTTGAGTTTGCTGCAAACGGCTGAAGATAGAATTTTAGGCTCCAAAACGAGCTCAAGTTTAAAACCACCAAATGCAAGGGAGATCAAAAAGAAGGGAATTCTTTCAAAGATATTCTTCTCAAATTTAGTACAAACATGTTTTGTAATATTCTCATAAAATAACTAAGAAATTAATATATTTTGAAATGGTGCAGTAGAGAAGGTAGAATAGTGTCAGGGAAACCAGGAAAATGTCAGGGAATCTGCCGAAATTTGGCAAGTCAGGGAATTTTATTTTGCAAGCAATTTTTGTGTCGGGGAAACGTCAGGGAAATCGATAAACATGAATTTTCGCAAAGCGTTTCGCGAATTTTGCTTCAGTAGAGATTTCTATCAACATTTTTACCAGAATTTCTGCTGCTGTCTTTTAAATTTTAAAAATGATGCAAAAATATCTCGCATAAGTTTAAGCACCATATATTTTGCTCTGTTCATTACATTATATTCCTGGAACATGAAAAAATTCCTACTTACATCTCATCAGTTCAAGCGTCTTGAAAAATTAGGAATATTTCTCCGATCTGTCAGGAAAATGTTCCCTGTCTATCAGGGAATTTTAAATTTTTCCCCAATTTTTTGGCAGAGAAATCAGAGGAATGTCAGGGAATTTTTTTTGTTGAAAATTGCTAAACACCCTGGATTACCTCTGGAATAGAACCTCTGAATGTCCACCTAATAATTTGTTCTGTTGGTCTGATTAGGTCCGACTGCCACTGCTGGTGGGCCTCAGCAATACCGCACGGGACCGCAAGCGTACCCGCAGCAACCGCCTCAGCAAAATTATCCTACATCTCAGTATCCACCTCAGAATCAAGTTCCTCCTCAGGTATACTTCTTCGAAATTCCTATTTGCTCATTTTCAAAACTTTTTTTATGTTATTTCATGAGGTTTTTAAACTAAGGATTTATTCTAAAGACTGGATGGAATAAGAGGAAAAATGTCCGTTTTAGTTAAACTAGTTTAAGTTTAGCTGTATTTTGCAATTAGGAACTTGCTCTTCAGAAACGATGTAGTTGTCATTAGTTTTCCTATATGGATAAGTACTTTTACCAATGGGTCAGAAATTTCAGTTCCTAACTGCAAAATGTAGTTCAGGTAAGGTACACGGCTGAGGGTGCATCACTGAAGGCGCAATTTCCACCATGCAAATTGTCACTTAAGCGCAAGTCAATAAGTAAAACATAGCAGCCTGACCTGTACTTTGCATTGTACCATTGATTTCTATGCTCTCAATACCGAGATTACTTGAGGGGAGAAACGCTGTTGCACTAATTGGGGCTCAAGTACAAGTCATTGTTTTAACATACTCATAGTTCGTAGAAATGATCTCTTTGTCGAGACATAGGAATTCTTGTTATGCCCTGATTTGTGCCCTTGACATCTGTACTTTAACTTCAGTACCTTTGATGATCAATTAACATACCAATTATCTACTACCAAGGGGAACTTCCCAAGCTGCCGCCTCCGATCGGGCTGAAAAAATTCGTACAAACTCTTTGGATGAATTTATTTGACCCGTATTTTTTTGTTTTTTCCAACGCCCCCCAGAAACACCCCAAAAAAATTCCGGAAAGTTTTGCTTTGAGCGCTTGAGTCTATATACGCAGTATAGCAGCACTCGCTTATCGTCAAGTGGTGGCTCTGCGGAAGCGCGCTCGCCCAGTGATCCGGCGGGCCCGGGTTCGATTCCCGGGCGCCGCGCCTTTTTACGACCGAATTTTATATTCTCACACATTTTCACATCGATTCCCATTTGATACATTAGAACTTAAAACATCAATTAATTTACAACCATCAACGATCAATAACTTCTTCAATGTGAAGTATAGATTTTTTTTTGGAAGGGGGGGAGGGGTACGCGCGCGATATTCTCGCCAATCACTGTACTTTCACATTAGCAGACGACCCGCTCCGCCCCCTCACATCAACATATTTCTCCCGATCACCCGTATGAGTCATGATTTTTCCCATCATTATCTAGAAAATGATAATGAAAAATTGTAGCATTTTTAATTTAAATGTTCGAAGTAATTTTTCATTATCATTTTCTGGATAATGATGGGAAAAATCATGACTCATACGGGTGATCGGGAGAAATATGTTGATGTGAGGGGGCGGAGCGGGTCGTCTGCTAATGTGAAAGTACAGTGATTGGCGAGAATATCGCGCGCGTGCCCCCTCCCCCCCTCCCAAAAAATGTTCAAAAAATGTACTGAAAAGGGTGTTTCTCTTAGCATGAAAACAATTATTTAAGTACATATCTTTTTAGGTATGCACATTTAGGAGACACACTTTAAGTGTTCATCCTTCAACATTCCATCTTAGCCTTTCAATGAATAGCATATCTCTAATGTGCAATACAAGATGGTTTTTAAGCTATGGAGCTTTTTTAAAAGAAAAAAGTAAACTTTATCCTTATTCATTATAGGCACGTAATTCTCTAGAAGAAAAGAGATCTCAAAAGGCCCGTAATAATCAGTTCTGACCTCGGTCCCCAAAAACCAAAGTAGAACTGCGGAAACCAGAATAAACAGGAGTGTTTACAAATATTTTGAGACTAAATTGCTTTTAGCCCCTCCTGTTTGCTTGTAAATGGGCTATACAGCGTGCAACTGAATTTTTGGAACCATATAGTTTTTTTCTGAAACCTCAAAATTTGATTTTTTACCTAATTCACAAGAAAATATGGTTTTACTGAAAATTTTGTCCCTGTAAATGAAGGTCTCTTCTCCTGTAGAGGGTCTCTATTAAGTTGTTTAATCTCTAACAGAAAATACTAAGTGCACAAATAATTATATTTTCAGCAAACTTACACTCCACCGATTCAAAATCCTCCTGGGCAGGCGCAGCAAGGCAGTTACCCAGCGCCAAATCAGCCGGGAAGCAACTATGCTCAGGCACAGGGTCCTCCAGGCTACGGACCTCAAGGCCAACAGGGTGGTTATCAACCCTCGACCACCTCCTCATATGCTCCACCCCCTACACAACAGCCCGGCGGATATGGCAGCTATCCTCCGGCTAACCCTCAACAGCCTGGCTACACGCCTGGCTACCCCAGCCAACCGTATGGTGCAGCCCAACAACCGGGTCAGCCGCAGGGAGGCGGTTACAGTAACGCAAGCTATCCATCAAGCTATCCAGGCCCTCAGCAGGGATACACGCCGCCACCAACAACGCAAGCTCAGCAGCCGTCGAACTTCAATCAGCAAGGTGAGGAGAGTTTTCTGATTTTAAAAGTAGTCTAGTGCCCTTGAATTTTATGTTATTAAACAGTTACGGCCCTGTCTACATTTGACCTTTTCGAAAAGAACTTACGTATTTTAAGAATGGATTTGGCCTTAAGGGTATTCCAGGACAAGAATTCCAATAATGCCCTTGTTAATAGATTTTTACTTCGACCATCTGAAGTTATCAGAGGTACCCTAAAATTATGATTTTGGGGAAATTTAGCTCCCTAACTTCATCCGCCTTCCCTTGGCAGGTCCAAAACCTCACAGTTTGTGGCACTTTGGCAAGTCCTCAAACAAATTTGAACTTTTTTTCTTGTTTAAGTCCTTGAGTATCTTTTGATATTTTGGATAGTACCAAGATGAAGTTGAAAGCCTTTAAATTTTTCATAGTTTCATTATTCCAGTGACAACTGTTGGGAAAATTTATCCTTTTCACTTTTGCCTTGAAGTTTCCGAATTGTTAAATTGTATCACATATTTGCCCTTTTATATGTAAATAGCAGAGTATTCAAGTATAACTGTGCAAAACATGACATATTTCATTGATAAGGCATAGCTAAAGGTTTTTTAAGATTTTTTTAGACATCTAAGAAAGCACCTAGAAAGTTGCTTGGAAGTCCTTGAAAGATTGTTAAAATTTTGCAATATAACTATTCAGAATTCCTGAGAAATTGCTGAATTCACTATTACCAGGTTAATTCAGCTTATTGTTCCCTTAGCCACTTTGAAGCCCTAAAAAAAAGTCTTTTATCAATTGGAAGGATCCAGATTTTGTCTACTATTTATCCCCGTAGTAATTAGTTTTTGAAAATCAGTCTACAGTTTTTTTTAAATATATTTTTGGAAAAAAAAAGACATGAGATGTTTTAACAAGTAAAATCGAATAAAAAACACCAATGTTTTGTTTTTCAGGTCAAAACTACCCTGCCCCAGGCGTTTCCTCACCATCGTCGCAAAACACTGCTTACTCGCAAACTACCATGGCTCCGTCAGCATCAACTCAAACGTACCCCAGTCCAGCACAAACGTACCCTCCAAGCACAACGCCATCCTCATCTCCTGCTCCATCGAACTTCCAGCCCGCTTCGGCCAATGCTCAGGGCGCCGGTTACGGTCCAGTCAGCGCACAAAACTACCCGCCCACCCAACCCCAGCCTCAGTATCCACCGCAGGGCTACCCTCAACAAGGCTATCCTCAGTCTTATCCGCCAGGACCTGGTCAGCCTCCTTACCAGCAGTACCCGCGACCACCAGGCCCACCTGGACCTCAGGCTCCTGTGCCACCGTCTCAACAAAATCAGTATTCAGGCTATGTCTACCAGCCTCCGCCTCAATAAGCTGCCCATAAAGTTCAGCCGTTTTGATCTGAATGCTCTTACAAAAGTTGAGTTCACTCATGCATTGCTCGTAATCAATGGCAAACTCAACGGTAGTCCTTAGTTAGAATTTTTTTGAATTCAACATATGATTGAAGCTAGAGTTGGAAATGAAAGTTTCTATTGAGCAATTAAAACAAAAACTATTAGCCGAATACTATCAGAGGCCAAAATAAGAGTAAATACCAACCTAACTAAAATAAACTGCACACATCCTCAAGGTGAAAATGACATGATGGCTGCATTTTTCAGCATTAATTTTGACTGTTAAGGTGTGCTCGAAGGTACTGTAATTTATAACAATTTAACCAACAACTTGACAATGAAAAGTTTTTGTCAAAAATCCAAGCCACAAACAGTTGTTTTATTTTAGTTTGAAGTGACATTTATTTAAATTTCTTCTAGAAACATCATTTTTGCCTTTGTTTATCCGAACAATCACTGAATGTTAGGGAAATACTCTGAACTTTCTTCTTCAGAATCTTCTCTCTGTGCTGAAAGTTGTGTTTCTATTTATCTATTCACAGTATTAATACAGGTAATTACCAACTTTCGTGGTGCAAAAAGCTGTTGAGAAAGAACGAACTTCACTGCTGTGATTCAAATGTACATTTCGTCAAAATGAAAGTAGCTTGCGGTTCTTCTTTTTTCTCCTCTAGACTCTTGTTTGCCTTTTTTGAGCAATCAAAATCCTTAATCTGCGGATTAAGATTTGCTTGTTTGGTATAGTGTTGTGACTTGTCAGAAATAAAGCTGTACTGAAGGAGCTACAAATTTCCATCAAGCAATTGGTAGTATCCACGCGCTACACTGCTGTCTAGCATGTATACTACAAATTCTGATCCACCGAGAAATTTCTTTTGCTTGATGTTCTTTGTATTTGCCCTAAATTTTTAGAGATTATCTCTTGGGACTGAAGTTTGAAAGAAGAGTATTTTTCTGCTGCATTTTTCTCTATCGCTGAGGGCCTTTTGTTTCTAGGTTGAAAACTGTAAATCTACTGATGTGGTTGCACGTGTTCATTGTCAGTTGAAGGGAACTCTTTCAGGTAGAGTTCAAAGCTGTCGCTCCTCTGTATTTTTGGGTAGACCTATATGCAATCACATGATTTTCAATAAAATTTTGCAAACCCAATACTCAGGAGCGTGTTCTTCCTTCCAAAGTGTGTGAATTTGGTGCTCTCTTTCAAAAAGTCTAATCCAGATTCAGCTCTTTATTTTTTTTTTTTTAATTCTGTTTATATATTAAAAAAAACTGAATTCCTCTACTTTAATATTCAGGTACTTGCGTGTTAGTGAGGAATTTATCCATTCACTGCTTAGTTAAATGATACAAATGAACGAGGATTTTAATGATGCACCCATGTGCGCGGCTTGGTGACCTGTGGTCAAGGACTTCCAAAAGTGTTGTAAATTTTTTCAATGTTTTATGTTTTGATTTTAATGATGGGTGCAATAATGATCCACATTTTTTTCCTTGACAAGTAATAATTTTTCAGGTTAGAGTGTGCTGTTAAAAGAATGTGTGTCAAAACAACCGTTGTTAAGAGTGCAAAAATCCAGAGTATTCTCCAAAATAAAAATGATAAAGTACATCAATCCCACTTCTAAAATTAGTGGATGTGTAGGGACAGGATTGATTGCCATTACCAACTTTTCTTTTAGTTTTTTCCAAGACCCTGTTTGTGATCTAAATATAATATTACTAGAATTGGATAAAATGTTTTGGAAAATTATTAAAATCAGATTATTATTTTTCTGAGAAATTTCTCTGGAAACTTCTTGGAGTAAGAACTAAGCCTCTTGACAGAGGTACCACCTTGTATGATGGAATTTTGTCCAATCGATGATCAAACAAGTGAATTGATTCACTCCGGTACACTGATATCTTATTCAATGAAAAATTCTGAGCCTAGGAAAATTTTTTCTCCATTGATAAATCCAGAATTTTCCTTATCTATGCACACATTCGGTATCTCAGTCAGATAACTCTCATTGTATACATCTTTGTTTTTTGTGATAGATTAAGTCAGTTTGCTAAGATGATCCTTTTTTAACAAAATCCTCCAACTTTATTAGATAAGGAGGGATGACTGTACATAAAAATTAGGTCCTTTTGAATCATGTTGTTCTCTTGTTTTATTTTTTTCTTAATTTTTACTCTCTTCAATCGGTATTTTTGAAAAACTACTGGAGATATTAGTATGTAAACATTAAATGCCTGAATGTTAGTGACTTATTTTATACTTACAAGTAATTGTGCTACTAAATGTATCTTATAATTTTTTAAATCAAGGGAAGGTCTCTATTTATTAGAGACATTCCTCCTTTTTTACAAGCATGACTGTGTAGGTTTTGATATTGCTAGCTCTTAGATAGGCTCTTCATTTAATTAATTATATACGTTATCTACTGCATCAGTAGGACATAAGGTTTGTTAACAAAAATGTTGAGAAAAACATTTTCGTAGTTTGGGGAGTGGATTAGTCGCCAAAGATTTTTACGCTTTTTGACCATACATTATTTTATACGATTCCGGCTGTTGATTTTGCTAGTTAGTAAACATAGAATGAAACTTAGAAAACTTGCTAGCCACCCAAAATTTCATGGCAACTAGCTATGTACTTCTTTCGTCTTTTTAACAATCCTTCGCTTTCAGAATCATCTACCTATTCTATTTTTACGGCTTGTGAAATGGAGATTCTTGAAATGTTATGTCTCACTCCTATTGTACTGATTTCCCATTCGTTCTTAGATGTTAGAAGCAGGCAGGACCGCTGCAACTATCGGAATCCATTCTATCAACCAGTTCAAATGAGGTTTCAAAGAACCCAAGTAGCAACGACTGCACCTAGAAAGATTTAACTGAAAGATGCCATTAATGGCAACATATTGAAATATTATTGGAACCAAAATTGATTGCCATTAAATTGCCTCTTTGTCGATTCCAATTTTTGGGGGTATTATTGGTGAAAGTCACTATTGAATGGCAATTGTATCAGTAGGAGAACAGTGTACTTTTTAGCTACAGTTAGGGGTAAATCTGCTTTAAAGTTGATGATTCCAATAATTGATAGCAATATAATGACAATAAAATCCCAACTTTATCTCAATGAATTGCAACTTTTCCCTTGAAAGATGCCACTCAGGAAAAATACTGAAATGGAGCAATATCAGAATCCTGACCAAACTTATGTTTCATCAGTTGATTCTACTAAAATAAACCTTGCTTGTTTTAAAGTAACAAACAGCAAAAGCTTCCAGGACAAATTTTGTTGATCAACAGAGACTGGCATGTCAATACTAGTAAATTGCAAAAAAAGATTAATGCTGATGTGTTTTCAATCGTTACATATAAGTTACAACATTTGGTAGACTCTTTTTTTCCCTAAGCCTAAATTGTATTAGCTAAAAAATCGTTGACTAATGTAAGCTGATAGGTAATCGCCAGTGAGCTTTAAGGCTAGTTATATGAACATATCAAGCTTTCTTTTTTCAAAACCATTAGCTGATATTGTTTTTCTCTAATCTCAAAGGCAACTTCTTTAGTCGCAAGAAGGTATGTAATTTTCGCTTGGTAGGAGCACCATGGGAGTATGTTTGTCTATGTTTATCGATACATTCCTCATCAAGGAATGAAAGTAGACTACTTCAGGACTGTAATTTTCTCAGCATTTTTTGTTCATGTTCCCAAGACGTTAGTTTTAACCTAGCATAAAGACAGTGACTTACCTACATGTATTTGTAAATTATTTTCCATTATTTTGTACGTACATTTTAACGTTAATGGCTTTATTGATTTCAGGCTCTTGTTTGTAGTCTGATGAACGAGGTATATTTGACTACTCATTTTTGTAATTAGAGCTGTGTTTGTATAAAATAGTTTATTCGTTTTCTGTCAAAAATAAAAACAAATTGCTGGAAAACCAAGTTTGTTTTTGGGTTTTTTGTTGCTGTTCCTCCATAATTTTCATTAGCAGAAATATTGGGTAAAAATGATCCAGAAATTTAGGAGGTTTACTTTGGTCGACTGACACTTGAGGATCTTCACAACCGGAAAGAAATTGGGGGACAGGATGTTCCGGAGGAAGGGCCTATAAAAGATCAGAGAATTTGTTTCTTCAATTTGTCTCGTCCAATCAAGCCAGTAGCAATGGTCTCAGCGACACAGCCCGTTATCCAAACAGTGGGGCAATTATTGAAATGACATTGACTCTTTGTCGCCGCTTTGTCATGTCGCGCAATCGACTGAGTGGCACTCAGTCGATTGTGCGACACGACAAAGCAGCGACATAGAGTCTATATCATTTCAATAATCGCCCCGCTGCTGCTGCTCTGAGAAACAAGAACACTTCATGGACCCCTCTTTTGGAACTCTCCTCAATTTTCTCTTACGAAAGTGAACTCATCATCACAATAAGAAAATGGACTCACTTAACACAAAGATGTTCATAGTTTAAACGGCCTCAGAATCCATGACCCCAGAGGTCCAAGGGGCATACAGAGTGGATCATGATTTTCAGCAGAGCTAAGAAAATTTCGAATCAAAAAACATTCGATTTTGATCTGCTGCGGGCTGATTATTGAAATTGATAGACAAAGCAATAGACAAAGAAGACATAGGGAGTACCTATGGAGCGATCCTATTTGTTGAAATGTGTGGTTCCCATAGACTGAGGGAGAAAATGATGGACTAATATGGGGTTTCTCGTGAGTTGCCTTTAGTTGGTCTGTTACCTACCGCCTCCGTCAAATGCCACTACCCGCTTCCACCAACAGGATCCCTCCATCAGGCCCGCCACAAGGAGGGGGATACTGGGTCCCTGGTACCGGGGCCTGGGCTCCGTAGGGGACACGGGGCCCGTGTTACCCGTGAAAAACCACTACGAATTCACATGCAACCCTTGTTTCGTAAGAAAAAGTGAAAAATTTACCCTAAAAATTTCGCAAAAGGTGAATAGATTTTTAGAAACACGCTGGGACACTGTAGAATTCTTCCTAAATTTTCAAAGAAGTATACTTCTTGGAAAATTTCTATTTATTTTCAAGATTTTCAGTACAGAGGAATATTTTTAGTAACTGCGTTCCATTTTCTTCCATCGTCAGATGCTAAGAGTCTCCAGTCTGGGCATCCTCGACTTCAATGGCTCATGGCTATAAACTCCCTTGCATAGACAAACGAAGGGGGAGTCCAGGGGGGCCTGGCCCTCATAGAACTGAAAATAGTATCATATGCCCCCCCCCCCCC